AGCTTTTCAAAGAGAAAGGAAAAATTGAAATCGCATCATATGACCCCTTTAATTTTTTGCATATGTCACACTTGAATGATTCAGATTCAAACAAATTTTAATATTACACAAAGATAACCAGAGTAAATACAAAGTGAAGTTGAAATAATGATTTCATTTCATTAAGGGAAAAAGCTGTCCAAACCTGCCTGACCCTACGTGAAAAAGTAATTGCTCCCTAAATCTAATAACTGGTTGTACAAGATGTTACAGGACACACCTTCCAAAAACTTCAACTTTTATCGCATCAGTCCACAGAATATTTGCCCAAAAGTCTTCGGGGTAATCAGGATATTTTTTGGCGAATGTGAGATGAGCCTTTGTGTTCTTTTTAGTCAGTTGTGGCTTTTGCCTTGGAACTCTCCCATGGATGCCGTTTTTGCCCAGTCTCTTTTTTTATTGTTGAATCATGAACACTGACCTTAATTGAGGCAAGTGAGGCCTGCAGTTCTTTAGATTTTGTAGTTAATGCTGCTCAATGTGAAAGCCCGCAGGTGATGGAGATTTACCGCTGATTACAGAACCGGCTTTCTGACAAGATGCGCATTAAATATCGCATGCGATTTATCGTGCAGCCCTAATGTCAACTATTTTGTTTCTCATCTGTTCTGGAATCTCTTTAGATTGCGGCATGATGTGTTGCTCTTTAAGCATGCTTAACTTTGTCAGACAGGTTCTATTTAAGTGATTTCTTGATTCAACAGGTCTGGCAGTAATCAGGCCTGTGTTTTATTATTATTTTGTTATTAATATAATTGATGGGCAGTTTTTTTATTTTTTCCCCCCTGAAGGCGAAGTCGCTAGCACAATGCTAGTATTCCTCTATCCTGTTTTCTGTTTTGTAGCTGAACAGTCTTGCCAAAATCTAGGTTTCATCTGTAGACTGTATGTCCCAGCATCTGGCCCCTCCTCTAATCCCACTTATCACCACAACAGACACACACACTTTAATTCCTTTGTCGCCACGCTGTTTGTTGTTCCAGGGGAAGTATGTCAGTGTGACATATTTAGCCCCTATGACCAGGATTAAAACGTTATTTCAAGGGAAACCCCCGATTGGCTATTGCAGCTGCCTTTTGCTGTCCGTCAATGCCAGTTCCCTCCTTTATCCACAGAGCTGCTTCTCTTCGTCTCCATCTGCCCGACACATACAAAGCTTAATCATTCATCTTTCCATCCGTCGTTTTTGTTTTTGCCTCCGCCATTTGCACACATTAAATCCTCTTGCAAGCAATGCAGCAACCACACGTCTCTGTGCACGCTCAGGATGAGTGGACATTTATGGATGAGAGCGGAAAATATAAAAGGCCGCCTCCATGTTGTATTTCCTCTCTCTTTCTCTTCCTCCTTCACTTCCAAGCATGCAACTGCGCCCCCTTGAGTCAATGCGGAGTCACTTCACCCTGTTTGTTGTTTCTGCAAAGGTCGAGCACTGTTATTGGACGCAGTTTTGCCACACAATCTTCACTTCCCCTCCCATGTCTTACAATGGACATGTTCAAACACTGATTTTTTTTTTCTTTTTCTTTTAGGGCTAGGGAAACTTTACCTAAACTAACGTGTTGAAGCACAAACCGATTTTTAGTAGTTTATCTATTAGAACTTTAAGTAACAAGTTATTTTCTATAGTTTTTCTGTTGATGTCTGCACAAATAATATTAGCTTTCAGGGCCAACCATGGCCTCATATTTGTTCTATGAATCATAGTTACTCTTTGAAAGGAGTCATATCCTGTTTACAATACTAGCTGTAATGACCCAGGTTTCGTAATATGTGCTCTGTAATAGGGCTGTCAAAAAAAATTCGAATTTCGAATATTCGTCAAATTTAAGATAAAAATCCACATTCGAATGCAAAAACGTTGCATTCGAATGCAAAAACGTTGCATTAGAATTTTAGGTGTGCGTCAGGCAGCCTTATCAGTGGTGCACGAGATGCGATGACGATGTAAGTGTCAATGCATTTTAATGCTTTTTTTAGCCTATCCAGTTGAACCTACTAGATGCGGTGCTGCTACGTTGTTCATTCAAAATATTGCAGAAAAAGAGAACAATCAATGTGGAGATGATGTTGTTTACGTCAAAACCGAAACCAGGCCGTTCACACATAACGCATATCACATTTTCTAGAGGGACATCTTTCACAGTTGCACTCGCGTCTCGCACAAGAGAGCCGCATGTTTAGAAAGCTAATTAAAATTAATGTAAGTTCAACTTTAAAAAAAACATGTCTCAAGACTTTATGGTGGTTTTCCCCATCCCACTGCATCTCAAGTTTTTAAATGAAGAAAGTACTCTTTGTGATTGGTTTTCGGTCCTTTGTATTAAACTATACATACATGACATTATGCACTTTTTTCAAAGATAGTCGTGTTATTTTATTATGCTTTGAAGAAACGTGCATAATATTTTGTTCGATGCTCACTCTTGTGGCCTCAGGAGAGAAACCAAAAGCTTTTTTTCCCCCTAACTGAAATTATGCCTTTTAAATTCGAATAGAATTCAAATATTGATAATATTTAAGTTAAAAATTCTAATTTAGTTTTTCAGCCATTTTGACAACCCTACTATGTAGTGTCTATGAATGTGCCCCCGTCACATTTTTATAGCTCTGTTTGTGTTATATCTTGAGTCTGGTGTAAAGTTGATTGTCAAACACTAACAGTGATATTTCTCTCTTTCTCTCTGTGGTTTTGCAGGCCTTGTGGATGCACTTAGATGTGTGCAATGAGTGCTGTGGCTGACATGCCTCAGTGTTTTGGATTGCTGTGCTCTGGACTCCGTAGGACAAGAGACTCCCAGCACAGAACGTCATGAGCGTAGTCATCCCAGTAGGGGTGGACACGGCCAACACCTCATACCTGGACATGGCTGCAGGCTCAGAGTGAGTTTCTCCGTTTCTGTCGTTGTCCTTTCATATTGACTCATCACTACCTTTTGTTTCATTTTGTTCGTTTTCTGGTTGCATCAGCAGAGAGAAACGCATCTGTAGTCAGATTTTTCCACCAACCGCTTCCGTTCTCTCATCTATCTGCTTCTTTCTCATCAGAAACTTGCTCTGCTGCTGTTGCTTCAACAAAAACAAAAAAATATTTTTCTATAGAACATAAGTTATGTAGCTTTTCCAAACAATGGAAGTGAATGAGGACTGGAGCTGTCAAGCTCAAATTGACAATAAAACACCATAAAAGTGATCTGTATGACTTGTGCACCAGCAAGTCTTCTGAAAGCATGTATTGCTTTGTGTGAGGAATTGAAAATTTAAAGAGTTATAAGTTTTGTATGCATTTTGTAAGGAAAAAAAATTACACGTATATAGAGAGATAGATAGATACATATTTACATTTACATTTAGTCATTTAGCATATGCTTTTATCCAAAGCGACTTACAAAAGCAGACAATAGAAGCAATCAAAACCAACAAAAGAGCAATAATGTAAGTGCTGTGACAAGTCTCAGTTAGCCTAAAGCAGTACACATAGCAAGTTTTTTTTATATATATAATAAATAAAAAGAAAGCAAGTAGATAGAATAGAAAAAGAATAGGGAACGCTAATGTTAGAGGGTCTTTTTGTAATAAAATAAAACCATTCAAAAGAATAGATACTGCTAATGTCAGAGGCTCTTTTTTTCTTTAAAAAAAAAAAAAAAAAGTCGTT